ACTGTTGGATTTGAAGTGACAGTTACGTCTCTATGCTGACGTGGTATGGCGACCTGAACTTATGTACTTACATACGAAGTTCTGCCTTGTATCCGTCTGTCTGTCTGTCAGCAAAAACTGAACTGATTAAAAGGTATCGCTTACTATGTTTGCTTTTCACGGGGAAAAGCAAATGAATAAAATCGACCTATATAGTAAACTGTTCATCAAGATTTGATCCAGATATAATTTTAGTTGAGTGAATCAATTATTATTATCATACTATACTAGAATATTAAGCCTTAAATATCTGTCTTTAATTAAATTTCAATGAATGAACTGATATCAATCCGTTCAGTAGTAATCAAGACCAAATTAACACACTATATTTAAGAAAATTCATTTCAGTAATACTGAATTGGATTTGAAAGATGTCAGCCTTTTACTGTGGTCAACAATATAAAGTTTTAAATTATTTTTGAAGAATTAGAGTCATCATGAATAGCATATATTATAAGAATAAGTTTGAAAGTTTCATGAACTGACATAATATAATGTAATGTTAAAATTTTGTTTTATTGCACGGATGAATGAATTTCCAGTAAAAATTCATTAGTTTTTAGTCTAAATTTGATTGATTTGTTCTATAAATTTTCACTTTGTCTACAAAATTGATTTACTATATAAGTAGACTAAATGTCTAAACAGGTTCTCATGTTCTCAGATCTACAAAAAAATCTCTTCAAAATCGATCAGTTAATTCATTTATTGAATGAAATTTTTTTATTTATAAATAAATTAATGTTTGATGTTCAAAGTTATTTTCATATAGTACATTGAAAAAATAACACTGAAAAAGAAGACATATATCAGTGATCATGTACCTGTAACTTTTACAGTTCTTCTGTTTGTGAAATGACATTTATATATATATATATATATATATATATTATGATCAGTAGTCAAACTGTTAGCAAAATGAAATGATATAAAAATATTTTTCATCATTCACATTACCAATAATCGCTTCATTTAGGACACATAGAAAAATTACAAATTGATTTATTAGCTCTGTTTTTGGGGCAATCTAATGTCTCTGAGTTACTCGTTTCAGCATTTTTTTAAAAATGATATTGTTTAAATGATGAACATTGTTATCAAAATTCACCATGAGAAAGCTTGATTATTTTAAAAATTGTTTAGACGTTATGAATACGATAAAATGTGACGTCAAACACCACTATAAATACAGATCTTTTGTAAAAGAAAAGCATTTACCTCTTTTCGAATTTGTATTACGGGATTGTGAAGATCGTTAAGTTTTATTGAAACCATGAATCGATCAATGTTAGACCACCACCATTAGAAACCTGGAAGCACTGAATTACGGCCGTTTCGTCCTGGTATTGGACTCATCAGTGGCAGTGCGCATCCACGACTCCTGCACTCCGCAGGATTCGAACCCGGGACCTTCGGTATTGTGCGCGAACGCCTAACCGTCGGACCACTGAGCCGTTATCTAACGGTGTTAATGTCTCACTTGATCAATTCATGGAGTTGCGCAAACTCATACATAGTCTTCTGTAGACACTGCCTACACCCGAACAGGTTGAACTTCACCGTGGTCACGTCTTCCCACTAGAACTCGGAGAAGATTCCTGACGAAGCTAGTCACTAATGAGCACAGGTAATTTGTGTTGCGGGGTTGTGAATATAGTTAAGTTTTATTGAAACCATGAATCGATCAGTGTTAGACCACAATTAGAAACTTGGAGAAAATTTTAGTTCACTTCGATAAATCAGGAATAATGAAAATATGAATTCGAAGAAATGTAATTCGACTTTACCGCTTGAATCCATTTTAAGTTTGAATGTCGAATATCATGATTAGATGTCAAAAATGATGAAAAACCAGTTGACAAATTTCATCTGGGTTTCCCTAAAAAAAAGAACTCATCATTTTATGTAAAGATAATGTGATTAGCTAATATTGTTTTCTCAATTCATTCAAAAACAATTAATGAAATGATTTTTATTTGATAGCTGAAATTTAATATAATGTGACAAGTTTCAAAAATTGAGTAAACATACATATACATGAATCATTATATCAAAATGTTAAACTAATCAATCACAATGAAAAAGATTACGTCACAACACATAAAATAGAAAAAAAGTACAATGAAAAAAGAAAAAAATCCACTTTCAAAATGAACTCTGTGAAAGATTCAAACAAAATTGTACACTAGATAACTGATTACAAATTTAAACAACTGTGTAATCAATTGTAAATGTTCAATATTTTATTAAATATGTAATAAATCATCATGGGCATAACATAATTTTTTTTCTATTTTACAATAATTGTCAATCATTAGGGTACTGTTAACTTATGCATATAAGCAGATTTTTTTACTAATGTTTAGTAAATCATTGTGCAATTATTTAAAAATTTAATTGTTTAGTTTAAACATTTATAATGACTAGCTATTTTTTGTTTTAATGAAAAATATAGTTTTAGTCAATTAATTTTAAGCATATTGGTAAGTTGCGTTACAATAAAAATTTCCTATATATTTTATTTTATGAATATTGATTTTTGAAATAATAATTATGATTATTTATTTTTACCTGGATTTTATTTTCTTTTATTAAACTAAATGTCATTTATTCTGTTTTTTTGTGCTTTTTAAATTCAACAAATTTTTTTGTTTCAAAATAATGTAATGCAAAATTTGAATTTTTTTTATTGGATAATTTTTTTTTTCAAGTAAATTAATATGCTCATTGTCTTAATATTTATCCATAACCAATCGAACGACAATATCTACAGAGAAATAAAAATCTAAATTAACATTCGTATTACTCTTGAGAATAGTTGTTTGATGATTAACAATCCATCAGAACATAGGTTAGAATGAAAAGTATTATTGTTATGGGTTTACTGTAGGTAATTTTTATTGTTTAATCATAAAGATGGTTATTTTTCTTACGTAATTTCAGAAAAAATAAACGAAGAAAAGGATAAATTTATTTGAAAAATAAATCGAATCTGTTTATATTCATAGTGATGTGCTAAAATATATGACCAACTGGATTGGTACCACAGATTAGGAAAATTAAAATTTTTATGTTACCACTGTTGTTTTAATGAAATTACCCACGTGGTATATAAAATAAATAGTCATCTGAAATTAGGATAAATTGTGTAGTGTGTTTTGCGTAAAAATGAAAATATATTTTCTAATCTTTCACTCACACATGATTCAGTTTTGTGGATAAATTAGTCAATAACTGAAAGGCAGTTCAGTTTTCATAAATAGCATTTTTCTTACATGAAGATACACAACTAACACATTTTTAAACAAGAAATGAAATTTAACTTGAATTTTATTAACTCTTGAGTTTCCTAAAACTATTCATCAGATGAGATTATTTCGATAATGGATATTATTTTAATAATACATAATAAAACTATGCATTTGATTAATATCTAAATTAACGCTCATTTGTTGAACACAGCATTTTATAGATATTTAGCGAAATTGATTCGATTAATATTTGAAAACAAAAATCAATAAAAACAAACCTCCATCGACTGAATTAACAGTTAGTTATTCAGTGTTCTGATTTAGACAATGATTAGACAATTTAGTAGAGAAAATCTGTCTAACTGCGTGTATATTTATTAAGATGATAGAATTCTTAGATAAATTTTTTTTGGGAAAAACGACATATTGTGCTACTCCACAAATTCAGCATTTTACTTGTACTTTAGTACAATCATGTATACTGTTATATCACTGTTAGACAGTAAATAAACTGTCGTGTATGTTATAATAATGACCAAATTTTCAGACAGTTTTATTTAGTATACAAACATTTTATGCAGATTGCCTTGATATAACGATTAGTTACAATGAACAGATAGTTGTCAACATAAGAATCCAGGAATCACCTTCTCATCGTTTCGGGACTCATTACCTGGATATACTCAATCTGATTTTGTACAATGATACGGATGTCTTATTTCACTAAATGAAGTAAATCCGCCTGGACCAGCTTAGGCCAGTAAGCCGGTAAGCCAGTAAGTTTTTAAACTGAATGTCATGTTTTCAGTTAAATTTAAGATCTCATTTCTGAGGTTTTTGGTAGATAGTAAAATGAATAAAAACAGGCTGTTCACAGTTTCAGTGGACTAATATTTCGAGTGTAAGTATTAGGATTATGTCTTGTTTTGAAGAAAACTGCGAAAGTTGTTACAGAAAGCTGCTATTTGTTACTAGATACAGAAACTCTAGCAAACCAAATTTTATTTATACATCAAAACTTAGTTAACAAATACAAGTACGCTATCCTCATTAAGGAAATGAATCATACCCAATGAGAATACGTAAAACTTTTTAGTATAAAAGGAAATGTGATATGTGGCTTATGTAAGCAGTCTTGATTTGCTTTTTCACATGTTTCTAATTGATAGATTTGTAATAAAGTATGAAAAATCACAAATCTTAATACCAATGGTCATATTGAGACAATCTATGCAAGATGCGTACTCGTCAACCAAGGCTAATTAGATTTCAAACATAAATATTAACAGTGCAATAATTAAAATAATTTCTTATTAAAATAAATCTCATACCAATTGCACAAGTCAATGGCTAATTGAATTCAGTAGCTAAGTGAATAAGACGACGGCATTCAAAGCGAACAGTACTAGATTGAAGTTCAGGGGTGAACATCAAATTTGGGGTGTGGACACCACTCAACTGACGAGTCCCAGATTAAACAAAATGAGCGTCCTACATTCACTGTTAACCAAATTCCATCTATTCTATACTTAATCTATTAGTTAAATCATTCTCAGAAAGCATAATATTTTTTTTCTTCAATAAAAGAAAATCTTTTTTGAAAAACAAAATCTCTAAACAGTTAATCTGAATCGTAATAATTCACATGTACTTCGAAAATTTAAAGGCAAGTAAAAAATTTTCTGTATTAATGAATTATAATTGACTTACCCGGAGTAAATTATCAGGTATGGAACCATTCATTGAGCGAATCGCACAAATAATAATGGCAGATCCATATACAGGAGTATCAAAATAATTCTCACTATCAGGAGGTATCCTTTGTTTCTCAAATAAATCCATAGATTTGATGATTTTCTCTAGTGTTTCATGACTTTAAAAAAAAATAAAATAAAAATTTTCTTTGTTTAAGTTTTTTTAATTCATGTGAATAGGTTTTCACAAAATGTATTATCAATTCAATTATTTTTATTCTTTGTGTATTTGAAATTTGTACAGCCCAAAGTTGAGATACCTTTGCCAGTGAATGGAAAAAATTAGACTACTAATATATTCTAAATTAAAAGTCATATATATATATATATATATATATATATATATATATATATATATATATATATATATACGTATAGCGATAACTTTCTTAAACCGTACCATTATTTGTCATTAAAATAGATTGTTCGGAAATATTTCGGTTTATTATTTATTACTCGTAGTGAAGTGTTTGATTTCATACTACTTACTTTCTGTTGCATAACTTGGTGTCATATTTTTCCTTACACCAATATATGATCAATCGGAATAAATTGTTAGCATCTGATTGGTAAGAAGATAAACTGTTGAAGTGCCACTCCTTTGACTAATTGACAGTACCCTTGTATCAGTGCAATGATATCAAAATATGTTGAAGAGTTTGTCAAAGAAATCTGCTATTTTATTTATTGTCAGTTTTCGTTACACAAAACGCTTAGTATTTGATTCTTATCAGTAATACGAAAGTATCAGTAAGTTATCAATCAATCATTGTTAGACCACCATTAGAAACGTGAAAGCACTGAAAGACGGCCGTTTCTTCCTGGTATGGGACTACTCATCAACAATGCGCATTCACGACTCCTGTACCTAGAACGATTAGAAACCGGGACCTTCGGTATTGTGCACGAACGCCTAACCATTGGACCACTGGACCGGCATCCAACGGTGTTAATGTCTAACTCTGATTGATCTAGGGATTTTGCACCACCTCACCCATTTGTGTTTGGTAGTTACTGCCTACACATGACAGGGTTGAACTCCACTGGTCACGTCTTCTCAACTAGAACTCCGAGAATTTCCTCACGAATCTAGTCACTAAGAAGCACATGTTACGATATTTTCAGTTAGAGTTTTGAAGATTTGTGTTTTTAACACATTTGAAATCATCAATTATTCATTCTTAGATAACCATTAGAAACCCGAAATCAAACAAACTAAATGTCCACGACTCCTGCACCTCACAGGATTCGAACCAAGAACCTTCGGTTTTGCATGCGTGTCCTATCTATACCAGGACGAAACGGCCGTGTTTCAGTGCTTCCAGGTTTCTAATGGTGGTCTAACAATGATTGATTGATGATTTCAAATGTGTAAAAAAACACTAATCTCCATAACTCTAATTGAAAATATCAGTAAGTTATTTTAATTCTCATTCATGATACCGTAATTTGTTGAGTACACTATCTATAAAACGCTTCTGAGAATTGAGTCATTTAATTTAACGTGTTGTATGAATTAGTAAAGTGTTAAACCCTAAGACTGAAAAGTTTTTACAATTTCAGAGTCAATGGACTGACTGAGTAAACTTAAACATCCCCAAATCAGAGTGTGTTGAGCATCAACCCACATTAATATTTTCTACATGGCACTTATATTTTATTACACTTGTCATGTAGAATAAAAATATTGACCTACTCATAGTAAACAAGGAGTTGTATTGCCTTTTTTAAAGCCTTTTGAAATCTCTTACATTTGTTTATATTCTACAAAAGCTCATAACTATAAATTCCTATTTTTTTTATGTATATTTGTATAAATGCAAATTTGCTCTCCTGTTTCGAATGAACTATCTTATAAAAATATATATACTAGCGAATATCTATCAAACATATTAATTTAATGAAATAAATTTGCTATAATCAAACGGCATACAACACTTTAACAGTAGGCAAATAATTGAACAGACCACCAACTGTGAAGACCTAGAAGTAGATTCTTACTAATGACCCCAATTGATGAAAATAATGAACAATCTACATGCATTACTAAGCAGATTATCATTATCATACTGTTTAATAATATGAATCGGCGAAATTGTCTGCTAAAAAAATTAAGGTTATTTAGCTGTCATGTTTATTTCGAAACCAGTGGATACATAACACATACACATATATATCTATCTATCTGTACAATGTATCACGTAATCATTTACCACGTATTTTCCAAAACAATAATAATCCAGGTATAAATTATTTTGCTAACAATCACTTCACGAATCCTATTCGGCAGATTAATTAACAGACCACCTAGAGCAAAATTTTCTAAGTAATTTAACATTTTAATCCGACTGATTTCGAATAGTTTTAAACAATCTTATGTCAGAATCTTGAAAATATTATTGATTACAATATATAGTAATTGTGAGACCGGTAACTACTGAAACAAACATGTAGTATAAAATCAGTTCGATGAAACATAAAGCTATTTGATTACCCAGTTACATGATAAGTCCAAATCGTTTATGCAACCAGCAAAACTAATTTGCTTAGTATGTAGTAGTATATGTACTCTACATACTTTCATTGTGCTATTTACTTATGGAACGCCACTGAAATGTAAACGGATACTTTTCCAAAAATTTCAAACCAAAAACTTTCAACTACATGAAAAGAGATGGGCGGTGAGCTATCTAATCAGTAGAGAAATAAATAATCTGATGATGACCAATCTTTAATGATTAAAAAATTCCATCAGTCAGTTTTGTTTGACGTATTAACTTGAAGATAGTTGTTTCCAGTAATGATCCTAGTTTTCAGTGTGACACTTTTTTAAAAATGAATGCACACAACATTCTCAGTGTGAAATGAAAGTTTCGGAACTTATTTTGAAGTTGATTGATAAAATCATTTAGAGACAGTACTCGGATCATCAAGTAGCAGAGAAATTTTAAAACATATAGAAACAACCCTAAAATAAAAACTTTGAATTTTTTCTAGTAACTACAACGGAGTTCTCGTTCAGAATGTTTACGCCTTCAAGATACCATCATTGTAATGTGAAATAATATTATTATGAAAATGATTTTCCTTCACTGTTGATTATCATATCGTTACTGCTTTTTTATGTATTAACATAGCTAAAATTATCAAATATATCCAACCATTTAAGTAAAAAAACGAGACTATGAACAAATTGCTTCTATTTATTCCAAGTCTGTACCATCACGACTCTGTACAAAACGATAGTGAAATCAATAGAAATAAGTAAAACTTTCTTTCATAACATGAAAATTTTTACCTACACTTTTAAACCTGTTCTTATAATTATTGCCTACATTCACTGTTACATAGGGTAATACTTTCCTTGGACAAAAAAGTGATTTCATCGTAATTCATGGTATAGTATGTTCTTTAAATAAGATAACTCCTTTGTTTTCTAAGCCCGTATGAACACACTCTTTAAACAGTGAAATTATATTTAGCTTAACTTAAAGATTTTAATAGATTTAAAAGAAAACTTTATTTGATTTGTATCTGAAAAGAAGGAAAATCAATATTTTTCAATTGTTAAATACCGCGTTTCATCCTGTTTTGAAGTAGATTAGGTTATGATGCATGACATTTTTCATATTCATTTTAAACTAGCTTATGTTAAAATACTTTTGATACTTTTGGATAAATAAATGTACGGCTTGTTAAAACAATAGAAATCAGTCATATTGTTTCATTCAATCATCCTTTGGTCTTTTGAGCATTTAATTTTAACTGTATCATTGAGTGTTTATTCAAAAGACTGAAACTAATAAAAGCCAAGTCAAAACACAAGTTCTGAGTAAAATAATGCTTTTTTTAAAGCATTCAAAATCAGCAATTATGAACTGCTAAAATATTGATAGGAATTAACCCTCGAACATAGAACTTTATAGTTTTTTGGTGCAGAGTTTTGGAGGTTTGCGTTTTTAGACATTTGAAATCATCAATCAACCATTTTAGACCACCAATAGAGAAACCTGGAAGCACTGAAAGACGGCCGTTTCGTCCTGGTATGGGACTACTCAGCAGTGCGCATCCACGACTCCTGCTCCTCACAGGATTCGAACCCGGAACCTTCGGCTTGGTAGGCGAACGCCTTACCGTCGGACCACTGTACCGTCGACCAATGGTGTTAATGTCTAACTCTGATTGATCTAGGGAGTAGGCAGTAACTACCAAAGACAAATGGGTGAGGTCGCGCAAAATCCATAGATCAATCAGAGTTAGACATTAACACCGTTGGATGCCGGTCCAGTAGTTCAATGTTTAGGCGTTCGCGCACAGTGCCGAATGTCCCGGTTTCGACTCCTGTGAGGTGCTGGATTCGTGGATGCGCATCGCTAGTGAGTAATCCCATACCAGGACGAAACGACCGTCTTTCAGTGCTTCCATTTTTCTAATGATGGTCTAAAAATGGTTGACTGAAGATTTCGAATTTGTAAGAACTTTATAGTGTTTAATTAAACGAAAATACACTAGTGTTATATGTTCGAATCCAAATAGATAATTGTATCCAAATTATTGAACAGTCAACAAAACAACGGTACTCTTAACCGATTATATACAAAAAATAAACTTAGTATTTGTAAAATTAAAGACAAACAATTAGATGTAACTGAGAAATTTTATAAGTAGTTAATAACCAACAATAAATTCTATTCACTTATTCCATATTGGAAAAATAAAAGAAAGTGACTTTGATATTTGTTGTAAATGTTTGACATTCGACAATCAGTAAATCTTAAGTTAAGAAAAATGTACGTGTTTAAATATTTTAAAAAGTAAAGTCTGGCTTTCTTGGTAATAATAATAATAATAATAATAATAGTAAGAATAATAAAACATCAGCTGACTGGACGTAATTTCATTTTTAAAAAAAAGAAAGATTACATTTAGAAATTTTCCTGTAAAACATGAAAAGGAAAATGTCACAAATTGGGTTTAAGAGGAAAAAATATGCATGTCGAGTACTATTAAATCGGTTTTTGACCGATCAGACCATGTGACAGCAAAACTAACAATTTAAGAATTGATCAAGATTTATTTAAAAAATTATATGTCATGGACTAACAAGTGAAATTGCCTGAAAATATGTTTTGACATTGTTTGTAAAATATTGAAGTCAGTAGGAAGCTATATTGTTAGAGTTTGTAATTTTCTCATATTAATTAACAACCTTGAATTCAATTGTTTTTATAATGAAATGAATACTGTTGGAATAAATATTTCATCTATTGTCCACAGATATCTAAATGTATGTTGACTACATTACTGAGATGTAACATTTCGAAATAATATTACAGTTATTTGATAAGCAGTAAAAAGTACAGACGCCGAAGTAAAATTGAATTTAACCACAAATTTGCCATTCACACACACACACACTGCTTTGATGCTTTGAAATACAGAAACCTTCAGTAATTACTTCCCCACACATGATCAGTTTCAGGAATAATAATAATCAATAACGCTTAGTGTTTGTTATCTTGTGGAAAAGTAATCATAGGAATCAGGCATTATTTTACTCATGATGAAACAGACTGATTTTCTTAATTAACTTTCTCTTTTAGTATAGTTTTAAACGAAACGAAATAAAGGAAACCATTTAATCATTTCTAAAAATTAGACAAAGTTTGGTTCCAGTGTTAAATTTTTTTACCAAATAACGTTGTGGTGCGCGCTACTTATAAGTAGTATATGACGCGAGTGTAAACGTACTGTCTGGCAGCAGAAGAGGGGGGGGGGGGGGGGAAGATCAAGAAAGAAATAGTGGGAACACAATGGAATTTGTATGAAACAAACGCATGAACAGTGAAATATAAGACAATCGATTGATGATGGATTAAAGATTTGCAAATTAACGACTTACGATATGGTTTTCCTATTTTACCAATTAACTCTGTAATTTGCGATAAATATGATGCGGTTGCCCTCACCTGTGTTCTCCTTTACAACATTTGGTGTCGCTTCCAGTATGGAGATACCGTGGCCGAGTTAATTGGTAAAATAAGAAAACCATATCGTAAACCGTTAATTTGCAAAACATCAATCCATTGTCTGACATTTCATTATTCATGCGTTTCATACAAATTCCATTGTGTGTTCCCACTCCTCCTTTCTTGATCTTACCCCATCTTCTGCTGCTAGACATTATGTTTACACTCGCGTCATATACTACTTATAAGTAGCGCGCACCATAGCTTAACAATAAGATATAATCTAACTGATTACTTACAGTATTTGGATAAATGATAACACCTTTTGATTATCTACAATCAATCACACAACCTATAACAATTATTCCCTACAGTGAACTTCGATAACACAACGACGAGAAGACACATTTTGTCAGAACTATGTAATATATATATATCATCTGCAATGCACTTCAAACAATTTGATCACACATGTACTTGTGAATACATTAATTATATCATGGAGAAGTTATTGGTCAACTGGACAAATTTTAATATTAGAAGGAACCAACGATAATAATAAAGTGAGGTCGCGCAAAATCCGTAGATCAATCAGAGTAAGACATTAACACCGTTAGATGCCGGTCCAGTGGTCCGATGTTTAGGCGTTAGCGCACAATACCGAAGGTCTCGATTTCGATTGCTAAGAGATGCAGGAGTCGTGGATGCGGATTGCTGATGAGTCGTCCGATACCAGGACGAAACGGCCGTGTTTCAGTGCTTTCAGGTTTCTAATGGTGGTCTAACAACTGATTGATCGATGATTTCAAATGTGTAAAAAAACACAAACCTCCAAAAACTCTGCCTGAAAATAATAAAGTGCCTGACATCAAACAGATATTCAAACCAGTCTAGATAATAAATTAGTATCACTAGGGTAGAACAAGGTTGGAAAAAATAATGATTATAAACACATAAAGAGGTTTGTCAGTTTTCATATAGCTAACAATAACTAGCTAATATCCAAATAGTTAGATAGTAAAATGTCGGATTATTAACCATAGCTTCAAATAAAATGTATAGTTAGCGTAATTGATACTTTTAGAAGCGAGTAAATAGTTAATAAGCTAGATTCAAATCAAATTATTCAAACTAAGCAAAAAGTAATTTTTGATTGATGAAAAGTCTATCATGTGAAAGTTAATACTATACAGAAAATAAAACATTTATGTTGTCTGTTAAATTTTACATTTTGTTAAATGATGCAGAAAACAGACATTAATTAATTTTCAAAATAAGCTGTATTTACGGAGAAAAATTTCGGTCATATTCAATAGTCTGTTACATTTCACTGACTAAATGTAAGCAAAAATAAAATACTTACCTTGTTATAGTTTCTTCACAACAGTGATCGATTTGTTGTTTCAAATTGTTATAACTTTTTGGGATAATAATAGTAATAATAATTCGTGTCGAATTATCAGTAGTACATGTGACGACAGTACAAGTGATTGGTCTCAGTGAAATTAAATCAACTAGAAGAGAAAAAAAATTGAAGATAACAATTTAAGAGTGAATGATTTTCTTCAATAATAATGAACAACAGTAAAAGTATCTGCATAAATGATTTTCATTGATAGAGATTTTACTCTTTATTACATAATAATAATATTAAAAAGAGACTCGTCTGAAATTATCTAATTTACCATATAATATTTAACAGACAGAGACAGACAGACACAACACAGAACTCCGTACGTAAGTACATCAGTTCAGGTTGCCATGCCCCATCAGCACAGAGACGCAACTCTCAGTTCAAATCCAAGAGTGATAGCAATAATATAAGTATTAGCAGTAATCGAGAAGATTAGGGAGCGAAGATATAATTCGAGAAGTATAATTCAGTAAGATAAATTTAGAAGTAGAAAGGTAGAGATGATGAGGGATTCGGAAGGTTAGAATTAAAAAGCACACAAAGAGTGAATGCACCTGCGCTCACCATCGCAAACAATTCTGAGCCATGTCGTTGAAGCTTTCTCTCTAACCATTGGTGACTTTCATCTCGCGGACCCCAACCAGGTAGCCTACATCTACCAACATGACTCAGTCCACTTGTCAGTGACTTTATAGACTTATTAGCTCCGCTCTTAAAAGCCCCTAGTGGGCACCCTTACCCAAGGAGACGGAAATCCGTGAGGTAGGGGAGGTGTGACATTTTTAGGGTCGACCTTTTCTAACCCTTCCTTCCTTGTGAGAAGGCAGCATCGCTGCAGATGCTGGTTGTCCGAGGGAAACACCTTACTGCTGTCACGCCCCTCTGCAGTATTCAGCAGTACGACTTCACCCTCAGACCTTGAGTATCTGCTTTTAGTCTCATCGTTCTCCAATCGACCTGCCTGGCATGGTAGAACCTTCAGGAACATATGTTCCAGTCAGTATAGCTAGGTTTAGTCATCACGATGGGCAAGCCCGACCACCACGTCAAGGTAGCAACTACAAACAACAATAAACCTTGCTTAGTTGACTATCCACATAAGTGTATCCTTTTTTTAATGCGTTTTGATTTTGAATAAATTGTCAAAATTATAACATTTTTCAGTTGACGAATTAGAATGAGACAGTTTAGTATGGTTAAGTAATACACCAATCTAACTGCAGAAAGTTTGGTCTGAGTTCTGTCTAATCAGCGTTCAATGAGTTTGCACTAAATATCACATTTTATGTGATATATCTGATAGCTGTTTGAAATGATATGATTTACCTATAAGACGTGTTAAAGACTTAGGAATATGCAACTAACAAGTAACGCTAAACAAAACGACTTCCCTGTAGCCATTTTAATTACGATTTACATTATTATTGCCTAAATTCAGTCTAAAACAGTTTAATATAAGAAACTAGTTGAGAAGACACTTTTCCTGATATACGAATTAGTCATTTTAACATTAAAAAAAACAACTAAAAAAGTTAGGATGATAATGTTTTTTAGGTGAATTTTGAGTTCCACTGCTAACAAATTCTAATAATTAGATGTATCGACAGACTGCGACAACAAATTTCAATTATTTTTAAATGATCTAATCTTCAAAAATATCAGATTTGTGATTAAATAATCTGACTGAAAATTTTGCAGTAGTCTGAATTCTTGAATTTAAATTTAAAACAGTACAAGTTAATTTGGTAATTATGAATTGAAAATGTACAATATTGTTTTTTTCATCTTGTATACAACAGCTTTGGTAATCATGTCTCTAGTATAATAAACACACTAGTAGATGAACATTCGGAAAATTAATCCAATAAATTACATTTGAATAATTGTGATAACCTCCTGGTTATTTTAAATTTCAAATGTGAATATTTATGCATTTCGAATGAGCTTGTTTTCTATTGAACAATCCAACGCAGTGCGCTTAATCACTGAATTATCTCATATTCAACTGAACCAAGAGAATTCACTAAAGAAACTTAAATTTTAAATAACTAGACAATTTTCAATTACGTTTGTAAAATGTAATTGTTAACACCTATTACATATCTTAAGTTGAAACATATTTCAGTCATCTTTGTTACGTAAGTGTATGTTATTCAGCTTTATCGAGCAACATTTACATTGACTAAAAAGATTCATAGCCAAAGTGAACGATTTATTGGAAATGAGTTATCTTAAGTTCCAAATCGCCTTCGAAAGTTTGTTGGTTAATGCTGTTATTCCAATATAAAATCTAGGGCCTCGTAATCACCAAAAATCCAACTAAGATTATTAAGTAACATCGAGTATCACAATATATTCTATGGAATAGAGTGATTATCAAAATAATAATGAGTATCATTGAAAATAAAACCACTCAATGAAGAAACGCAATGTCTTCTGTAACCGACTACAATCTTATGGTATCAGGCAAAATCGTAACACTACGATCGTCAAATAGATGACATTGTTAGCTCAAATGCTGAATAAATTTTTTTTCACGAATAAAAGTATCTAAGATGAACAGTCTCAAAAATGATTTACGCTAAAGTCTAGTAAACTGACTGGGTGTCATATGACAAAACTTTGTTATAGAAAACTTGATAAATGAATATAATTCATATTAAATCAACTTAAACGTTAGTGTTAACACTTAACATTCATATTTCAATTAAAGGTAACATTTTATTTCGAGCAAATTGAATTTTTATGTGCACTTAAAGGAATGTGATAAATGTGTAGATTTTAGGATGACCTAAGTATTTTAATCGTTATAAATTATAGCATTTCAAATCTCTAAAACTATAACTGAAAATGTCGCAACATGTGCTAACTAGTGACTAGCTTCGTGAGGAAATTCTTGGAGTTCGAGTTGAGAAGACATGACCAGTGGAATTCAACCCTGTCGGATGTAGGCAGTAACTACCAAAGACAAATGGGTGAGGTGGTGCAAAGTCCCTAGATCAGTCAAAGTAAGACATTAACGCCGTTGGATGCCGGTCCAGTAGTTCAAGGGTTAGGCGTTCGCGCACAGTGCCGAAGGTCCCGGTTTCGATTTCTGCGAGATGCAGGAGTCGTGGATGCGCATTGTTGATAAGTCGTCCCATAACAGGACGAAACGGCTGTCCAGTGCCTTCAGGTTTCTAATGGTGGTATAACAATGACTGATTAATGATTTCAAATGTGTAAAAACACAAATCTCCAAAACTCTAACTGAAAATAACTAAATATTATCTCATATTAATCTGATTAATAACAAAAAAACCTTTATTTCATAATACATGTCAATCATAGTTTCCAAAAAGCTTTCTCCAATATTATCTGCCGATTAATTAACTTTTTTCTAGAAAATTATGCAATGAATCATTTGTACCTAGTTGTTTGCAAACAAAATCAAGATGAGAATTTTAAGCATTTTTCAAGAATATTTCGCATCGATCATTAACGAGGAATTGTTTTTTAATAAAAAGAAACAGTTTGTGTTTACAATCATATCAGAGGGAAGATACATTCATAAATACATTAAATATGTCTGTATAAGACAATGGTTATTTGATTCATTTAACAAGCATAAAATCTTCATAAATTTAACAGGATAATATGAATGTCTAGTTACTACAAGACAGACATAAAATAACAATTGTTCATCTAGCTGTTATTTCAATCCACTATAGTTGACCTAATCTATTGAATGGGAATGAAATTTGACACCGAAATGAATATGAACAGGTTGATCTGATTATTTTGATTAATGTGTCTCTTTTATGCTCTTGTTCTTTGACTACATATCCTCAAAGTTGTTCTACATGTGCTATCTTTACAGCTGAATTTCTTCAATCTAATGTAACTCATTCATGTGTTACAAGTAAACTGACGATAATTTTGAAATCAGGCACTATATGATAACATACTCGTCGGAACATATGAAACTTCTGGATATTATACCATGGAGGATTCAATAGAACATATTTAATTTACAAATTCAAAGAATTAGGACAAACAGATGTTGGGAAATCTGTAGTTTTAATTGCAGACTGTTTGTTAATTATCTTATCTCACAAATTCTTATTACATCAATTAATATTTGTGACAGAATTGAATATAGATAACAGCTAGTTGATCTGTTAAACGAATAACATTCTGTCATATGTTTGTGTCTACAAGCATGATTGCCTGATTATCAATTTTCAGTAATGAATAATTAGCATGCAAACAGTTGAGATGATAATGCTAATTCATAGCCAATGCTTTTATTATCTATGCTGGACAATGAACCATATTGTGAGAAAACCATAGCCTGATTTCATTTTTTTCATTCAGTTAATCAACGATAAAATATAACTAACTAGAAAACATCTTTCTTTTCAAGATAATCATCATCATAAATATTATTACTTATTAGTTTTAGAGGGAATACAACAAAGAAATTGATACATTCAACCCTGTCGGGTGTAGACAGTAACTACTAACAAAGACAAATGGGTGAGGTCGCGAAAAATCCCTAGATCAATCAGAGTTACATATTAATACCGTTGGATGCCGGTTCAGTGGTCCAATGGTTAGGCGTTCACGCACATTACCGAAGGTCTCGGTTTCGAATCGTGCGACGTGCAGGAGTCGTGGATGCGCACTGCCACTGATGAGTAGTCTCATACCAGGACTAAACGGCCGTTCAGTGCTTTCAGGTTTCTAATGGTGCTCTAACAATGATTGATTAATGATTTCAAGTGTATATATATATATATATTGTATAAGAACAGGTTATAAACTATTCTTAATTAAAAGTGTATACTATGAATGAACACTACAAAAAGCACCTAACTGCTTCACGAGACAAGCCCTCACATGGAACCCTCAAGGCTAAAGGAAAAGAGGACGGCCAAGGAACATATTACGCTGAGAAATAGAGAAGGATATGAGAGGAATGAACAAACATTGGACAGAACTCAAAAGGGAAGCTCATGAGAGAGTTGGTTGGAGGGAACTGGTGGGCGGCCTATGCTCCATTGGGGTAACAGGCGAAAGTAAGTAAACAAGTAAGTATTAATGAACATAAACTGATTT